GCTTCGATGTCGACTTTAAAAAGGAAATTACGAAAACAAACAATGCGTGCGCGGTAGTGTTGGCGATCCACAGAGGGTTGATATGCAGATCTGACAGACTCGGTCAGGATTGGCGTCTCGGACTGAGTTTGACTGAATGGTTTCTCTCTCCATGGTTGCGGTTGCCAGATTGGAGCGATTGATCTTTGTGCTAACAGCTAACTGTAAAGAGTGTTAGCTCAGCTGTTGGCGGAGGATCTAGCTAATGCACTTCGGCTTTTTGTCTAAAAGCGGACTCTGGGTTAGAGTGCACACAGTCCCTTTTTTGTAGGACTGATTGATGATAAACAACAATAAAGTTCAAAAAATTAAAGTCATGTTTGATTACCACAGTAAGCAACAATCTCACTCAGACACGGCGTGCATTGTAGAATTTTTAAGCACTGTTGTAAATTTTAATGTGCATTCAAAATCTAAACAATTCGGATAATAAGGTGTATAGAATTATTCACAGAGCAGATAAAAAAAACTTTAATTCATCATTTTGATTTATCCCTTTTCTTAAATATGGTTTAATGTGTGTCAACTTTAATTGAGCGCATGTTAGTCGATAACATGTTATTTTGTAAGTCACAAAACCAAAATGTGCTTTTCATTTAAAATCCGTTAAAATCCAATCCAAAAGTCATTGTCAATGTTAGTATTTGAATGTTTACGCAAACAAAAAGTAATGGTTTTATTAGTTTCTTGTTGGTTTTCGATATAAAACTTGGTGTTTTTAGTGAATATTAAATTTCAGACCATTTGAGCTCTGCTTTGTTTCTTGTATGATGTGTTCTGTTTGGATATATGTACCTACTGACTTCCTGTTAGGTGTGTGTGTGTGTGTGTGTGCCTCCTCCCCCTCACTGACCTGAACACTGCAGGCTCCGTTATCATTAAGGCTATGTGGGGAATTTGACTGGACAGATGTTGTGGTAATAAGGCTTCTCGTATTTGCGCCCATGCGTTTTGTCTGTTCGATTTGTGTGTGGATGAGAATGTGAGTACCTCCAGTGATTTATAAGTGGTGTAAAAATGTCCTACGGTCTGGTTTCAAGCTTGGATCCGAGATGTGTTGGTGTGTGAGAGTTTGAGTTGTTATATGGTATTTTATGCCCCTTAAAGGAACACTCCGACTTTTTGGGACTTTAGCCTATTCACCTTACCCCCCAGAGTTAGATAAGTCCATACATACCTTTTTCATCTCCGTGCGTGCTATAAGTCTGTTTGACGCACCCACCGCTAGCCTAGCTTAGCACAAAGACTGGATGTGAATGGTTGCAGCTTTCATACTAATCCAAATGAGTGACAAAATAACGCAAACGTTTTCCTATTTACATGTTGTGGTTTGTATAGTCACAGACTGTACAAATAAGAAGGCCATATGAGACACAGACATCTTTTGACTGTATAAATACTATATTTTCTGAAGGGGAAGCACTGCTACTTGGGCAGAGTGATAACAATCACCTGAGACGCACCGTGACGAGGAGCAGAGAGTTCGCTTCGCTCAGCGTTGGAATAAAGAGTCAGCAATTACTAACGTTAGATAGAAAAGCATAGTTATCATGGGTGTTTGCTTTATTGTATGAGCTGTGACAATAAACAGGGGAGACCAGGTAATGCAGTACCATGTTTCATTGATTTCCAACCAAAAACGCACCCAGATTTGTAAATATCACATGAATAAATAATTATTATTACAGGAATCAATATATTTTAAATGCAATTTATTAGTTGAACCAAATGTATTCAACAGTAGCCTATATAATATACAGTATTGCATTACTATATGATAGAATAAGGGAAAAGTAATAGCACAAATTGTTTTTGCACAATGAACTCACAGCCTATCGTACCCTTTTGCACGCTCAAGTTCGTTATTTCCATGGTTATTTCAAATTTAGGCTACTAGGCGCGCCGCGCGCAGGGTGCAAGTTCAACGCGGTGAACGCGCCCGTTTTTTTCCCAAGCGCGTCCGCACCGCATCAAGATAAAAACATATTCATACCCTAATCATATAATAGTGTCACTAACGTTACATTAGCTCTGGCTAAAGGCACTGTTACAGTAGGTCATCTAAAAACACTTACCTCAGCCGCAGGTGATCCACTTGTCCTGTCTGTGCTATAGATGGGATAGCCGTATCCTTCAGCACATTATGGTCCGTGTGGCAAATTCCATGTTTTCAAAATAGTCGTCCTCATTGAAATGTACCGAGCAAACATAATGTCCCTTGATAATCTTAGGTGTGTTTGGATAAATATCCAGAGTAAGTTAGCCATTTCTTCATCCAGTCAGCATTTTTAGTTGGAATTCTGTGAAACATGGTATTACCTCCCCTGTTTACAGTCGCAGCTATTTACAATAGAGCGAAATCTCTAAACTAGCACGCTTTTACTATTTATAAATTGCTGACTCTATTACCCAAACACTGAGCGAACTCTCCGCTCCTCACCACGGCGTGTCTCCGGTGATGCGGTTATTACGCCGTCAAAGTAGCAGTGCTTCGCCTTCAGAGAATAGTTCCCAGGTTTTATACGGTTAAAAGATGTCTGTGTCTCATTTGACTTTGTTTTTTGTACATTATGTGACTATACAAATTACAACATGTAAATAGGAAAACGTTTGCGTTATTTTGCCACTCATTTGGATCAGTATGAAAGCTGCAACCAGTCACATCCAGTCTTTGTGCTAAGCTAGGCTAGCGGTGGGTGCGTCAAACAGACTTATAGCACGCACGGAGATGAAAAAGGTATGTATGGACTTATCTAACTCTGGGGGGTAAGGTGAATAGGCTAAAGTCCCAAAAAGTCGGAGTGTTCCTTTAAACGAGCTAACCGCAGCCGAGAATGCTGAGCCTCCTCCATCAGGGAACCAGTCCAGCAATCAAAGTCCCAACCACAGTAACGCCGGGCAGCCCGAGCACTGATTTTCTCTAATGCTGCAGAACCAGGAATACCGATGACCTTCTGCGGCAAACAAACGCTTAAAGCATAGTTCACCCCGAAAGCAACATTATTCATTCCAAATGACTTCCTTCTTCTATGAAACATAAGAGACGATATGTGTCTCTCAAGAATCATTATTTTTCAAAGTCAAAACTGTTTGGTCACCAGAATTCTTCAAAATATTTTCGAACTTGAAGAAAGACATAAGATCTAGATTTTTTATTATTCATATATTCTCAGACAAGCAAAAGAGCCAATGAAACTGCAAAAGGAAAGTAGCATAAAATAGCATAACCTGCACATTTAAAGGGATAGTTCACTTTGAAATTTATTTTTGGTATGTTTTATCTTACCTCAAGGGCATCCAAGATGTAGGTGTCTTTGTTTCCGCAGTAGTTTCAGTTTTGATATTTTTAGGTCAAACTGTTTGTTCTTGTTAAACGACTGAAAACGTGCGACTGAAAACTTGTTAAACGACTGAAAACCACATTAAAACGACATCACGTGACCATTCACCATCACTGGGCGTGTGCGTGCCGGTATAAACGGTGGCTGACGAATCAGGGAAGGACACGTCATGACTGACACCCAATCATAGAGCCGAGCGTGAGCCTCTGCGTCAGCGTTTCTAAACTCTTCCGTATCGTCCCGTCTTCACTAAAACGCCTTCGCAAAACGGAGCTGCAGCGTTTCTAAACTTCTCCGTTTTAGTCTGGATGGGAGGTGCAAATGTAGCAGGTCTCCGTTTTTAAACCCGTTTTAAATCCGTTTTTAATGTTGGTGGTGTTTGTTGACATTGCTGGTCTCTGGAAGGAGAGGCTCGATATGGGCCGTGTGTTCCCTGACTTCTGTGCTGATTCATCTAGAGTAGACTACAGAGGATTGGTTTAGATCAACACTACAGTAGGAGAGGTCTGTGGAATAGTTTACACTTTCATTTGCTGAAATAACCCAGAGAAGAGTGATTTATATCACAGTCAATGGAACAAAATTTGTCTGTATATGCAGTGATTGTTATGTTTCTAGCATGTTCTATGTTTGGAAACCCTAATGGATGGAGTGTGTGGCTTTTCATTTCTTAAACAACACATCATGGCCATATTCCAGGATGACTATATCAAGATTCATCAGGTTTTTAAACTGTGAAAGAATGGAGCATGAAGAATTATTTTACTTTAAAGGAGTAGTTTTTTCAAAAAACTTGAAACTCACCCCCATGTCATCCAAGATGTCCATTCTCGAAAAGAAATGAAGGTTTTTGATGAAAACATTCCAGGATTTTTCTCCATATAATGGACTTCAATGGGAACCAAACGGTTCAAGGTCCAAAAGACACTTTCAGTGCAAACTACAAACTGTTCAAAGGGCTTTAAACGATTCTAGACGATGATTCGTGTCATTTGGTTGATTCAACGAACGAAATGAACGAACTGACTCGGAAAAAGATTCGTTCATTTTGATAAACGAGTTCGACCAGGAGAGTCACAAACGCGCATCACAGAACAGAGCAAGGCGACCATTTGAGCTTATAAAACTTAAACTTTGTTATTTATTTATTAAATGAGTGATCGTTTCGCTTGATAAGACCCTTATTCATCGTCTGGAATCGTTCAAAGCCCTTTTTTTTCAACAGTTTGCACTGAAACTATCTTTTGGACCTTGAACCGTTTAGACCCCATATGGAGAAAAATCTTGTAATGAAAATTCATCAAAAACCTTAATTTCTTTTCGACTGAAGAAAGAAAGACGTGGACATCTTGGATGACATGGGGGTGAGTAAATTATCAGCAAAAGTTTTTTTTTTTAAATGAACTACTCCTTTAAATTCACTGAAAGTGTTCGTGATGTGGTGGAGGACGACTCTTGCATTGACAAAACACGATCCTGAGCAAACATTGATGCACCTTTTGATGGAAATAAATGTTTGGATGTTATTTCCATCAAGAGGTGCATGCACTTTTGGTCCAGATCTTGTACTCCTGTAGTCTCTGATGAGAAATGCATGTCTCTCTCTCTCTCTGTGGGCAGACGACAGCATCTCGGCGGCGAGCACCTCAGACGTGCAGGACCGGCTGTCGTCTCTGGAGCTGCGGGTCCAACAGCAGGAGGACGAGCTGACGGTCATGAAGGCTGCGCTGGCTGATGTGCTCAGACGTCTGGCTCAGTCCGAGGACGCCACCGCTGCCAAGAAACAGCAGAGCAGCAAAGGTAACCTTGTGTGTGTGTGTGTGTGTGTGTGTCATCCTCCCACTGTTTACACGGAGGAAGTGTAGGAGCGCAGCCAGACCAGGATCTGTTAACAGTTTCAATCCAGCCTTGACCCACGGCGCTGAACGGTTCCATTTGAACAGCAGCTGTGTGTGTGTCAGTGTGTGTGTGTGTGTGTGAGAGAGCGTGTGATCCTGGGGGCTGCTTGAGGGAAGGCATTTTAATGTTTGACCATTAAAACTGACTTCACTTTGTTCTCTGTTTAACACACCGTATAAAACACTGGCTGCCTCCTGCCCAGTTTCTCTCTCTCACACACACACACACACGTATGCAGCGGGTACTTTTATCCTTCACTGGTTTAGTATGTAGAGACTTGCGTACGGTAAGTCATTCAGTGGTTGAGAGTGTGTCCCTGCGTCCCAATTCGCATACTATCCGTCCTAAATAGTATTCGAAAATAGAATTAGTACGTCCCAAATCGTAGTATGTTGAAATGAGTGTTTCAAAGATACCCGGATGGTCTACTTTTTCCGGTCAGAATCCGAAGTGTAGATCGATGCACACTCTAACGGCTGATATTGCCCACAAACCATTGCGCGTTGGACGAGGATTCGGTTAGAACTACAAACACGAGTAAAAAGTGTTAAAAAAAACTACAGACACGTAGTCGATACGAGGACGCGCGAGTCCCCGCGGTTGTGTAGAGAGGTTTAGATAAAGAGCTTTGAGTGATTAATTATCAGTATCTAACCTGACGAAAATGAATTTATTCAATGTTGTCCACATTATATTGCATTTGCAGCAACATTGTGAACTTTTGTAAAGACACGTTTAGCCATTACGTTTTAAATGCATCATTATATTCAAATTGCAAACACGAGGAGAGCATGAAAGACCCACAACTGGCAGATGAACGTGCTCTCCGAAACGGTAGGAAATCAAATTAGATAGAATGGAGGATTTTAACTGTGACAAGATGATTGACAGGGCAGTTTACGGTGACAGGATGCACGCAGCACGCGACAGAGCTGTCCGTTAAAGATGACGTGATAGTACGTCCCAAAGCTTGCCTACTCTTTTGCTACACACTCAAAAGTATGTACTTTTTCTTCACAAAAAGAGTACATACTTTTAGGACGTAGTATAAGGAAGCGAATTGGGACGCAGTGTATGTGTTCATTCTGTGAGTGAGATCGCCCTCTATGGGCGGGTTGAGGACATGCAGGACAGACGCTGGACAAAAAATCCTCTGATGACGCTAAATGACGATTTTTGTGTCATCGGAGGATTTTTTTTCAGACAAAAAATACCTAAATCTCTCGTCTCAGGGGAATATGAGCATGGTACATACTTTTAGGACGTAGTATAAGGAAGCGAATTGGGACGCAGCATGTGTGTTTGAGCGGGCCAGTGTTGACAGTCGATTGAGTTTAGAGCGGGTACCTCTCCATCTACTGGAAATATATGAGCAAAACAGTATGCATAAGTATTATATAGGGCTGGGTAATAAATATCGATTTCTCGATATTAATCGATTCTCATTTTTACGAACCGATATCGATTCTTAAATCTCAAGAATCGATTAGTCATCCTGTTTCAATTGAATGAATGGGACATTGTATCGCGGCTGTGCGCATTCAAAAAATCGCAATAATCTTTGTCCTTTGTTACTATTGATATGAAACGAAGTCTCAATTTTCGAATTACGTCCATTTTCTTTAGAAATTCAAAAACATAAATAGCGTTTTGGCGCTGTGGCGTGAGATCGCTCTAGAGAAGCAGCAGCGCTGATCTCTCTTCCGGCTTAATAATACCAGTCACAGCGCCAAATAAACATGAATGAGCATCTGAAAGTGTGTTAAAGATAGAGTACAACTATCGAAATCCGTATCATGTCACATTGATTCGCTCAATCAGCGTTTCAACCGTGGAAAGACGTCAGTTAAACAGCTTGTAATCAATGTCATGTATCGTCATATTTACCTCAGAAAACCCACATCAACTCGTTAGTCAGCTAGAAAAAATAACTCCAGAGAGGAGCATTTTACTAAATATATACACCATATTACATATGCATTATAATCTTAATGTTCTTCAATATTTAATGCATATTTGAATAACTATGGCAAGTTTTTATGACAGCCACCATTTAAATGTTTATGTTTCATATAATCTTCTTATTATAAAAATAAATAAAAGTGTAATTTAAGTGTTTGTATAGCTACAGAACAGTTCATTATTACCTTCATATTAGGCTAATGAAGCCTATAGGCTACAACTAGACTCCCATAGTGTACAGCATTTAAGAGATTTGATTCCCTTGAGAAAAATGGCCATTTATTGTAACTGATATCCAAAATAATCGATATTGAATCGAATCGAATTGGGAAATTTGTCTCAATACCCAGCCCTAGTATTGTAAGTACAGAACATGTAACAACAACCATATGCTATAGTGGCATTGGCGATCCATAAGCCTGTGTAATGTTGTAAATATTAATAATAGGATGAATTTGAGCATTTAAAATTCTAATATATTCAAATATTAAATAAAATAAGGAATAGAATGCGAATAGTATTATAGAGGAAGATTGACAGCCCTAGTGTTTTTTTTTTCCAGTAGTGTTACATTGTCGTCCCATGACCTTGTTCCCAGGGCCGTCGGCAGGGTTTCATCGCTGAGGTCCCAAACTTGATCTAGTGAAGAAAATGTGGATTTCTCTGATCTACATATGTGCATTTTAAGACACTTAAAGGGATACTCCACTGTTTTTTTCATATTAAACTATGTTATTCCCGTAACTAAGACGAGTTGATACATGACACACTTTGTTAGCACTTAGCTTAGTCCAATTTATTCAATATGGGCCAAGCAGAGAAGTGACCAAACACCTCCACGTTTTCCCTATTTAAATACTGTTACACGGGTAGAGTAACTCGACCTAGGACGGTGACACAAAATAAAACGTTGCGCTTTACTAAGCTTGAAAGTGGATAACTATATATGTGCTTGGGAGCGCTTCGACTCGGCACACACACTGAAGATGCGGTCGCTCTAGTCCTCCAGTTCCAGTCAAAAATCATTCACACAGATTTCCATTTGTATGTCAGATGATAGTACAATTATTCGAATGTGTTTTTCCAAAGCGTATAAATGTATCCAATTAGACCAGCAGACAGACGAATGAATATTTTACTCAACGCCAGCACTAACAAAGGGCAACATTTCTTGAAAATGAAATATTAAGAGCAGAACAATTTATATTCACTATACACTTTTCCATGACTTGAGAAGATTTTGCTCAGATTTTCCCAGGCCTGAAGTTCCTTGTTATTTCCATGTTTTTGACTATTAAACTGCAGACTTGGATAAGGCAGCATTATCTTTATTAGTGTTTTATTATACATTTTATACATACAATGGTTTAGAATAATTTCAGATTTTTTTATGTTTTTGTCTATAATGCTTACCAGGCTGCATTTTTTTAATGAAAAATACAGTATTATGTACAATGCAATGATCAATCTGAATGTTCAGCAGCATTACTCCAGTCTTCAGTGTCACATGACCCTTCAGAAATCATTGTAATATGATGATTTTATGCTCAAAAAACATAAATTATTATTTTCAATGTTGAAAACACCATGGTCGTGTAGCATTTTTTTCCCCAAAATTCTATGATTAATAGAAATTTCAAAAGAACAGCATTTATTGAAAATATATAAATGTCTTTACTGTAACTTTTGATCAATTTGACAAAGTATTTAAAAGTATTTTCTAATTTCTTTCCCCCAAAAATAAAAAAATAACTTCTTACTGACCCCAAACTTTTGAATGGTAGTGATTAATGTTACAAAAGCTTTCCGTTTCAGATCAATTCTGTTCTTTTGAACTTTCTATTCATCAAAGAATCCTGAAATAAAAATGTAAAAAACTGTTTTCAACATGGATAATAATCATAAATGTTTCTTGAGCATCATATTATAATAATTTCTGTTGGATCATGTGACACTGAAGACTGGAGTAATGATGCTGTAAATTCAGCTTTGATCACAGGAATAAATTACACTTCACTACATATAGATTCACATAGAAAACCGCTGTTTTAAATTGTAATAATATTTCACAATATTACTGTTTTTTTTTTGTTTTTTTTTTATCAAATCATTGCAGCCTTGGTGAGCAGAAGAGACTTCTTTTAAAAACATAAAACATCTAAAACTTTTGACCGGTAGTGTATATTCCTATCAAATTAATAAAAGATTCAAAGAACTAAAATGATTATGGTTTCCACAGAAATATTAAGCAGGAAAAACTGTTTTCAACGTGGATAATAATAAGAACCATTATTAATAATTAAGGACCAAAAATAATTGATAATTATGAGTCCTAAATCAGCATGTTTTTGGACTGGAGTAATTCAGCTTTGCATCACCGGAATAAATATAATTTTACAATATATTCAAATGTAAATCAATTATTTTAAATTGTAATATTATTTCACAATATTAGTGTTTTTATTGTATTTTTTCAGAAGAGACTAATTTCCAAAACATTAAAAAATCCAAATTATTGCAAGCCTTTGACCTCCAATGTATTTTATTTGAAATTATACATATTATTACTTTTTTATATAAATATTCCAAAAGAGGGAGAAAAGAAAAATAACCATGAAACAATTTTACCAAATGAAAACAGTCCGTGAGCAATGCAAACGGGCAAAACGAAAGCAAGCAAACGCAATTCGAACCCAAGCGACTGCCAGACAAAACCATCAGAACACACACACACACACACACACACACACACACTACTCATTCTTCTTATGACTGTTTTCCACATTTTACAGTATTAGTCATCAAAGGCTACTGGAGGCTAATTGCCAAAATAAACCTCAAAATAATGATGCGATTTAAGGCTTGAAGACTCAATCATTACTAAAAATACATAGTGACTGATCATCTCTCCGGACTTCTTTTCTGTTAACATGAAAATT